ATTTCAAAAATCACTCAAAACATCCCTATAGCAAGAGGTTCACACTGACAGAAATTTTACAGAAGAAAATTACAAAAAATGTTCTCTAAATGCTCCAATTTTATGAAAAACTCACAGGAATAGGTAAAATTTTTAAAAATTATTTTACAAAAATGTTCGTCAATGTTTTTTAGTTTTTGGCCACAAATGACACAAAAAGTTCAAATTTTGTCAAAACTTTTATGAAAAAAAAAATCTAATAATGTTCTCTAAATGCCCTAATTTTATGAGAAACATGCAAAAAAAGATACAATTTTAAAAAGTATTTTCATTAAAAATTTTGGTCAAACTTTTTTAGTGTTTGATCTGAAATGATACAAAAAGTTCACATTTTGACAAAAACTTTATAAAAGAAAAATTCTAAAAATGTTCTCTAAATGCCCTAATTTGAATGAGAAAAATGCAGGAAAGAATAACATTTTTAAAAATTATTTTACAAAAATGTTTGTCAAAGTTTTTTTAGTTTTTGACCAAAAATGACAAAGTTCAAATTTTGACAAAACCTTTATAAAAAAATTTTTTCTAACAATATTTTCTAAATGCCTTAATTTTATGAGAAACATTCAGGAAAAAATAAAATTTAAAAAATAATTTTACAAACATTTTTGTCAAAGTTTTTTAAATTTTAAATTTAATTAATTTAATTAATTTAAATTGTCAAATTGTTTTTTTGACCAAACAATGTATAAAAAATATTTTTTCAAAAACTGTTGTCTAAATGTCCTAATTTTATGAGAAACATGCAGGAAAAGATAACATTTTGAAAAAAATTTTTACAGCAATTTTCGTCAATTTTTTTTTGGTGCCATTGGATTTGGTCAACCATTGATCACAAAGTAAATACATATTTGCTCACATTTGAATTAAATGGAAACGTAACAAAGTTTTATAATAATGTACCGCAGATAAAATCCTACTGAAAGATACCACTCTTTGGGTCATTGTTAATACCCAATGGTGACCAGTTTAAATGTCTCACCCAGTAACACAAACCAATCTAAGCAGCAAAGTGAACTAAGTTATGTCAGAATCCTGGGTCACATGATGTCACAGTGTTTTGAGTTGTTGTGTTGATGTAATTATGGGAGTTGAACCCAACACTGTGGTAAACAACCACAACAACCAGATTATATTTATTTTTAAAAAGTCCCTCCTTTGAAAGAGCGACCAAAAAATTGACCCGGCCCCTCCCTCTCTCTCTCCCCCTCTCCCTCCCTATCT